ACCCGCAGCAGGCACGCCACAAAACTCTAAGGCTTTGCCAAACGATCGTCGTTCACATTCTAAACAGGACCCCTGGCCCCTTCACTGAACGACGAAGAATGCGAATTTCAGAAGCAAAATGCATCTCCTTCTATTTCCAGCTTTGTTCGAACGGCACGGTCGTGCAATACCGCGGAAACCAGCTGCGTTGTAGCACTCGTGTAAACACCAGCCGTTCCCCTTTAAGCAGAGAGGCTCTGTGCATTTTGAGGCGTTATTGTTTAGCTGCAGTGCAACGAAATGAAGAGAGCACGGGCAAGTTGAAAGCGCCCAAATACGCCTCGTTGTGTCTCGCTGGTTATCTTGCTCCGTTGTCTACCAGCAAACTCGTCAGGAAGGACTTGTCACATGGGAGCGCTCGGGACTGTAGTCAGTGTAAACGCGCTTCGACGTTTCAGGTTATCAGCTTCTCATTGCACTTGAATCTGATTGTGTCGAGGATAGCGGTTTTTCTCTCTCTGTTGAGGAACTTGTTTTGTTAATGCTTGTTTCTACACTCAGTTCCCAACGAACTGGTCGCTGAGCAGTCGTGTTGTTATTGCAGAAGGGAATCCAAGTTAATGCAGCAGCCTTCAACAGCGCTTTCCCCAACCCCATCCTCTTTCTTTTCGTTATGTTTTGCCCCCGCCGCTCGACTCAGAGTAAGCAGTTCGTGCTCCTGTAAATCCGCAGTACAGCACAAACCAAATCCCTGAAACCCCATGCAAGCAATCTCCCATAGCATGTGGTGCGTTTATTGAGCTACTGATTAGCACTGTCGTGCCGTCTGCCGCAGACTCCTACGGAGTACTGCTAATGAAGCAAAACCAAGCGGTGGTTGTAAAGGCTTACGGAAAGAGAACCGCACAAATTCTGTCTCAGGCAGTCGAGCGTCACGAGAGCCCCCGACTCAACCTGCACTCACAAACCAAATTAACGTTCACCCATCATCAACCCCGTCTTACGCCAGTCACTCTGATTGCTTTTAGTGCCACAATAGCAGTAACAATGACAGACGTTCTGCTTGGCTTTTCTGCTGCAGCAACACCGAAAACAATGAGAACGGTTTCGATTCGAACAAGAAACAAGAAACACGAATCAAGGAGCTTCCTCTTGCCTTTAGCTTCCTGAGCTCTTCAGACACTTTGGCACAAACCTCGCGTACACTTGCGCGGGGATATTTTTCTGTGTGTTCCTCCATATGCTGAACACAATGCGAAAACAGAAAACAGACGCATATGCGTTCCGCGCGTTTCAACTGGTAAAATATAAATGTGTATGTGAAAGCAAAATTATATTTCATCTAAACAAGCTCCGCCATACACCACGTCCGCATACCCCGCGTTTAAAGCATCAACTGGCACGCCCAATGACGCCAAGAAATCTTTTTTGTGTTTTGTGTTGTGGCGTTCCCCCTACTGTGCTAAGGAGTTCTTGAGAAGTATTATTATACCTTCATTGTACGCTCATCGGCAGCTGTAATTCTGAATGTGTACCCATTAAGGACGACTTCAGCTCCAACAAAGAAGTCTTGAGCTGAGTATTTTCTCCCCGTTTGCTGGTTCTGCAAGCTGTTCGCTTCGAAGAACTTGCCACCTGCCTGTTATGCAGCCGCAGCGCATTCACTCGGTTAGCTACTGCAAACTCACATGAACTGTAGCAAGCACCCCAAGTAGACGCGCGCGGTGGTATACTAAGAACAACACGAAGCATAACGCTTAACTGTTTTAGTTGGAATTTGCTTTGTTCTCCTCTACTTAATGTCTGCCGGTGTCCTTAGAATTAGGAAAACCGTGGTATGTCGTACGTGGCCCGAATTGCGTTTCTGATACTCAAAGACGGTTATTTTGTCAGTCAGCTCGCGAATAGAGATCCTGAATTCTCTTCCTTCATCTTCTTTTCGTGAGCTCACCAACTCTGCCTGTAGTTGACGCAGTTAAGCGGAAGACACCGAGATGGGCGAACCAGGCGAAAGTCAAACCGTTATTTAAAATACTTTGTACTGGCGCCCCTCTCAGGTTATGTCAGCTTGCAATTACCTACGCAAAAGCGGCTACCACTGCATTCCCAAACTCCGGTCAGTTCGTATCTTTTTATTTAAACGCTTGACTTGCCTTGAAGTTGAGAATGACATCTTCTCCGAAGAGAATCTCACGCTCGTTAGGATGTGGCCGTTTGGGGGTCTGCGTATCAAGGCGCAGCACAATCTCACAGTTTGTTACAGCCCCTTTTTACATCTGTATATACATATATATATGTATATGCATATACATAAATATATATATTTATATGTAGGCCGATAATGCACAATCTCGGCGGAGGCGGAGGTGGGGGGACACGAACGATGAATACAACGCCGCAAGCTGCGTGTACGAGGCTGGATGATCCGCCCACTTATCTATAACTTACTATACGGGTGCAGCATTGGATTGTGTCTTCTTCAGTTCCTATGCCGAGGGCATGCGGAGGCCACGTGATTTGTGGAATTTCCTGCATGAATGATTCGAACGCGTGATGCGTGATGCAGGCACTGCGATAGCGCAGAACGCCCGCGCTTGCTGTGAATGGGGGGGTTCTTCAAAGCAACAGCTGAGCTGAGATCAGGACACTCGTTCCTTCTCTCCTTACGCGTTTCTCCTCCGGTATTATTTCCCGGCCCTGCTCAGTGTTCAGGTACTCGCNGTTCCTTCTCTCCTTACGCGTTTCTCCTCCGGTATTATTTCCCGGCCCTGCTCAGTGTTCAGGTACTCGCGATAGAACTGCCGCGTGAATTCGTCGCAGTCGTATATATGAAATTGACGCCCATAGACATCTATTTCCCTTCCCACCACAAAGTCCTCTGGCCTGCGGATTGTGTTTTTCACACCAGTTCAGTACCCGGTCTCGAAAACAGCACGCTCTTTACTGCAGAACTAAGTGCAATCATATATTGTTTGCAACTAGGTTGGGCTCACGTGTAGAATTCGCTTCGGCTCAGTTGGTAGTCGGACCAAGTCAACTCGCCAAGTTGCTTCGGCAATTTCCCTTTCCTGTACAAAACAGTTGCACATCACTCTCAACGTCTGATTTCATTCGCAAATGTAAAGCCCGTCCACCTTCGGAGTGTGAATAGTTCGGAGATTCCGCATTACATGCATGTACCATTCCTACGTAGGTATATTTTACGTTGGCCGGACAGGTGTGCCCACACACTGGTTGATACAAACTCCCCAATGGCCGGCAGCTTTGCCTCGCTAAAGGCGGAGAGGTGTGGTGAGCAGGAGCNAGCCATGCAAAAACGTGAATGGAAATAGTGTAACGAGTTGATACCTCAGGAAGGTGGAGTAGTTGTCGCAGCCAGAGTTCTTTATCGGATTAATTCTGATCTCCACAGAATCGTCTGCGCGAAATTGCAAGGAGATTTTCAATTTAACTCAAGTCAGCAATGGAATACGGGGTAAGGTATTAGCGTGTCTCGTGACTTCTGCTCTCGTTTGTCATTCCAAATCAATCACTATACTGTGGAAGACGGCCGAATTCTGTGTTGCCGGCTGCATGGCCACTGACCACTGAGGAAGTAGTGAAGTTTATAGTAAGTCCGACATCCAAAGTTTTGTGGATTTTCCCAGTAGCAGTGAAAGACCAGCACTTTGCTGCAGTCCAGGCGAAGCACAGATGGAAACTAATCTTTCAACCCAGTATTATCCGCAGGCGGGGATGAATGCACTCGTTTGCCTCTGAAAGAGTCTGACCGGTCGTTCTGAAGATACTGGTTGAGCATCTTATTGGAGCAGGTGTTTCCTCGAGATGCCTCCGCGAAGGCTCGTGCAGCGCGGATCTCGCTTAGAACTGCTGGTGATGGTGTGCAGTTATTTCGTTGCTTCATTACAAACGCCCGAAAGAAGGTATCATCAGGCAACTCCACTGCCTCCCCAAGTTCATGCCCTGGCAAAAGTTGCAGAAGTCGCAAGAGCTGCATGACTTGTTTTGCTTTTTGTAACGAGCATAGAACTTGCGTGATCACATACAAATATCAGAGTCTGCGTTACTAAGGGTTTCAGAGCAACAAGGCCAGCGTTTCTTCACCTGCGTTTGTACAAAACCACCGCGTGAACTCGTCACACTCCAAAATCTTGAAGACGCGACCGTAGAGTTCCAGTTCTGCTCCGAGCTGCAAGTGCAACATCTCCGTACATTAGCCTCGGTTGAGTCCTTCGATCTACACTTTACATCTCCAACTAGTGTATACTGAATATAAATTTAATGGTCATATTCGACTAGTTTACGCAACTGGAGGATTGTATCATCGAACAGGACTTGAGGATATTAAATACTTCTTGGACGTTCGTATATTTACACTTAGGGCTACTGGGGCATCTAATCCCACTCGCTACAGCATCAATAAACCCGTGTGTGTAAGCGCTNTCAGTGAAGGTAACAAAGCCGCTGCCATCTGCCCGCGGCATCTTGTGTCGCTTGAGAATGGGTCCTTGCCGTGTTTCCCCATAGTCCGTTGTTGATTCGTAGACGCTGAGTGTTCCGTCCTCTAGGTAGAAGGAAATGATGCAGAAACGCCGTCTGCTGTTCTCGACTGCATTGCCACTGAAAGGTTCTTGGTAGAAAGCGAAGAAACGCAGGGCCTGGCGATCATGCTTCAGCCATGCAGGTTCTTGTTTGGGTCTGGTACAAGGACGAGCAGCAACACTGGATACACCGAATAAGCGTAGCTGATGCAGAATATCCACGCGAACAACTCGAAAATCATGTCAATCGTTTGCCTAGCGTTTCGATGGCTTGCAACACAATGGCGAGGTGCCAGTCACCGGTATGATAAACGCGCCGCTTCCTTCGCACTTCTCCTTTCGTCGTGAGTGAGGTGGTGCTCTTCCCGGTCCTCCTGACCACTTTGACTGAATAACGTCCATTCCTAAGCACAACGTTATGCATCCCTGTCCCTGCACAATTGCTTTTCCTCGATCGTTCACTTCGGGCGCTTGCATAATTCAAGGTGGCTTGAAAAGCAGAAGAAACGGCCCGGGTTACTGACCTCATCTGTGAGCTCTAGAGGTGGAGGTTTCTGCCTGTCTTGCCGGCCCGAAGTCGTATAGTTGAGGGTTTGCTTTTTGTAGTACTTCTCTCTGGCAGAGTGATCAAGCACAAGCTGTTGCTGCTTGATACTGAATGGGACGCACAGGGAAAATGTCTGCTGACCAGAGAACACCGAGGGCCTCTGAAGATCCATTTTTCCAGCCCTTTTCGATCCTGTTTTCCGCTTGTTTCAGTCGGGTCGACGTTGCAGCTCGAGGGNTCCATTTTTCCAGCCCTTTTCGATCCTGTTTTCCGCTTGTTTCAGTCGGGTCGACGTTGCAGCTCGAGGGCTACACCCCCGAAGGTCACCTCCCACGAACGATTAAAGTTTCTCCACAACAGATGGCTTTACTTCGTTTCATGTGGTAAACTGTTGCTCCACTAAGTTTGGGGACGCAACTCGTTAAACCTTTTCTTCCCTTCTACAGCAACTAGTACCGAGCACAGCTGCCCGCAGCAGGACTTGAGTTGATCGCCACTGTGCCAGCGATGCATGGGAGGAACAACCTGCCCTTCCGCATAATTAGGTGAAATTACGACTCAGAAACGGTTTTTTTCTCCCTAGCGTTCTTTGCGTTACACCATCTACTCGTTTTTCCGGAAAAAAGCCCAAGGGGCTGCGGCCTGTCCACGCCGCACGAGACTCTGTAGCCGGTCACGTCAACAATCGACGCGGCACGGCGTGCCTAATTAAAGTGCAGAATTAACTCCCCTCCCAAACAGTAGCATTTATGATGCATATATATCAGTTTAGTGTACCTTGGACTAAGCCATGCGGGTGTTGCACGGCCGGCAAGACTCTGCTACCGCGGAGTCGCCTCATTGCTCGCCGCTCTAAGCGGACGCTAAGCAAATGCAAACGGCAGCTT